AAACTGAATTCCATAGGAACTCAAAATGTTTCGAGAATAAATTTATAACCACAACGTAGCAAAGAGAATAAGAAAAATACTTATATACTTAATTCTATATACTTTTTTTTTCATCATCTGTTATCCTATGAATCTGGAGGTATTGCCACTTTGCCTACACTAATCCAAAGACATGTGATGCTTTATATATTATTTATTCCATTAATATTATTAACACCTCACAATTCACTTGTTTAGATTTGTTCAGATAAAATATATTAAGTACTTCATGCCTCCTAAATTATAAAATTTTGTTTGTAAAAGAGACACAGTATTTAATTTGTTGACTAATTATGAGAGAACTAGAAGGATGAAAATCAATCAATCGCATATCCGATTCAGACTTGGCAGCAAAGCCAAAAAAAATCAAAATTAAGAATGAAAACAGAGTTGGGGAAAGTGAGTGCTAAGTTACCAAAATATCCAACCAGCCAAAATGGATTTGAACAAAGTCAAAAAGAGGCGCAATATTTGCGGAGTTAGTCATGTCAAGTTGGTGAAAAGTTACGAGGGTGTTAAAGAGACCAGAATCTTTCAATTTGCGAAGGGCTTGGATTCCTGCACTGGAATCTCTAGCTGTGAGCACCACCTTGACTCCATTAGAAGCCAGCATCTTCATAGTCATTATACCTATCCTTTTGTGGGCCCCGGCCACAATGGTGTGCTTGAAACCGGCCACAAAAATTCCAGCAGAGCAAATGCTAAGATATTCAATTCATGTCATACAGGCGACACATAAAGAGAATAGGCACGAAATGGGGGGTCCCCGAGAACCAAGAATAAGGAAAACATTTCCTTTGCCTCGGCCGTAGATGGTGAGATGAGATTTGATGATTGCATGCTGCAGAGTGAGTGAGTGAGTGAGAAGGGACGATGGCCGTTAAACAGCAGAACTTGTTTGACCTCTCCCTAATAAACTATTGTGTGAAATTCCATTATTATTATTTAAAATATGTTTGTTTAAGTTTTTCTAAAATGATTTTGGTAAGTAAGATATGCATTAACCATTACTTGAATTAACTTGCAAAATCTATTTTTTAACTTATAAATAACTCCTCTGGCAAAGAAAGTATTTGTATTTGTCCTATTTCTAAAGTATCTAAATGATTATTGTGTTAATCTTTATTCTTTTTCTCTTATTAAATGTTGAAAATATTATTTGTAACATCCCAATTTAAATTTTAATAGTTAATTTGAATTAATAAAAATTTAAAAAAATATTTAGAGATAAGTAAATTAGTAGAAAATGATCATTAAATCTAATTTAGGATATAATTCTAAATTAAAATTTAAAAAAACAAAATTTAATTAAAAAATTATTAATTAATTAATTAAAAATATTATTAAATTATTATTATAAAAAAAAAGAGAAGAGAAGAAGAAAAAAAGAATTTGCCTTCCACCGCTGCATGCATCAATAATTGTATAAAATAATAAAAAAAAAGAGAAGAAGAGAGAGGAAAGAAGAAATAATAAAAAATGTGGAACCCACTGAATTTTTTATAAAAACCCACCTCCTTCCTTCTTTCTTCACTTTTTCGTTTCCTCATTCTTCCCTGTGCACGAGCTGAGGCAGAAAGAGCGTCTAGTTTTGCTGGTGTTGGGTTTTAAGGTAAGAGTTTTTAATAAGATATTTAGGGTGTGATTTCAAGCTTTTCAAGATTAAGTATGTGTTCTAAAAATTTTTCTTAGTGATTCTTCCTCTTTAGTTTCTGAGTTTGTGGTGGTAGAAAATTTAGAATTTGGAAGAGGGATGAATTTATGTTGAATAAATATGATTTTTGAGGTTGTTAGTAGTATAATAAATGTTCTAGAGTATAAATTTATTGATGATCTTTGAATTTGTGACTTATGGATCAAATTCTAAACTAGATCTGAAAATATATGTTGATTTATTGAGGTTTAGATGATTATTTGGGATGAAAAATGAATTATTATGGCTATAGGATTATGATTCTAAGTTAGAGACTCAATTTTTAATTTTTGGGTATTTAGGTGCGAATTTATAAAATAAAAAAAAATTTGATAATAGAAATTAGTTTAAAATTTAATTTCTAAATTATTAATGTTTATTGATGAGTAAAAGAGGAGTTAAAATTTTACTTAATAGTATTAACTCTAAATTTGTATTAAAATTGAGATTAAAAATTATGTTATATTTTTTTAATTCTATTATTAGAATTATTTTATTAGTTTCAATAATTGAAACTAATATTTATAAATAATATGTTATTTGTAGATTGTGTTATTGGTGAAGATTGTGATGGGAGAGAAATTGTAAGGAATAATTTATTGAAAAAGCCATAAGATAACCATGCTTTTAATTTGTGATTAGTGTTACTTTATGTTAATTGGGTGATTATTGAGAAAATTATAAATTTTGTAATATTGTATAATTGTGCAATATTATTATGAATTTGTTTGATTATTGTGGGAGGTGTTGGGAGACTTGCTATTGTTGTTGTATTTATGTGCCACGTGGTACGCCCCTATTGGAGCTCAATAGGTGGTTTGTAAGGGCTCGGGTTAATCTACCTTTAGCCGGGTAATTTAGCACCGAGTGAAGGCTATGGCTCGAGGTTAATGGAGGGATATAAGGATGGTTGTTTGTGTGTATTGTAATATTTCTTATATTTATTGGAATTATATTATTTTTAATTCTTACTTAGTAAGCACACACTTAACTGTTTGTACACACTATCATAAATTGGTATTGGTTACTGGGACTTTTGAGTCTCATTATGTGGTTAACAATTTTCAGGAGAAGAGCCACGAGTGACACGTGGAGGAGTCCAAGAGGCTTAGTGGTATAGATCCACTGTCTCTTTTGAGTATTTAATTTATGATTCATAATGTGTTATATTGTCAATATTAGGGCTTTTTGTTTATTAACAATTATATGAATATATAAATGTAATTATGCTTTTCAAACTATTTATATTTTTGATACACTTTGGATGACTGTAATTTTAATATTTGGTTTACTTTGGATTTGTTAAAATGGCATGATTATGAGGCTAAATAACTGGCTTGTTTTCAAAATTAACTAGATTATTTATTTTACTTGTTGGGAGTATAAGGATAGATAAATGTAATTTAGTTTAATGGCATGTGGGAGGTAAAAATTTAACTGAAATGTTATATTGTACGAGTTGAAGCTAATTATAAAATATTTTTATATTGAAATTATTGATATAAAATGTGTTGGGTAGCTGTAACCCAACTATGGTTGAGTTAAATTATAAAAAAAAAATTGATGTGTTACATTATTAAATACTATAGTATTTTATTTTTAATGTATATATATTTAATAATAATAAAGTTAAAAACTTATTAAAGTTTTAGACAGAGTTACTGAGATTTAAAATTTTCTTGAATTCCAATGAAAATATTAAAAATAACTTATAAATATAATGAGATAGAGTACTTGTATTATTAGCTTTTTAAAGTAATCATATTTTTTTAAAAAAAATAATTCAAATAATTTATCAAAATAAAATGAAACAATTTTTTTAAATTAATTCTGCTGGTTCCTCTCATAATAAAGAGGGCATTGGTTAATATGTTGTTTTGGTATTTTAAATTGAACAATTTTGTTACTATTATTGGTTGTTTTTTGTTTTTTCTTTTGTGAGTTGTGTGTTAGGTTCTATTTTAGTTTTTTTTTAGTATTTTTTGGGCTCCGGCTATTAGTATTTGTAATAATTTTTTGGTGATTAATAAAATTAACTCTTTTAAAAAAAACTAATTTAAATGATAGTTTGTTCCATGTTTAAGGTAATTAAAATTACTTTTTAAACTTAAATAATTGGCTTGTACTCTCAACTTCACATCATTTCGGTATTTGTGTTATAATATAACAGCTGGTAGTAAATTTCTTATTTTTTTAATTAACATATTGATTTTCAAGTTGATTATGCATATAATTGTATTGTACTTTAATAATTATTAGGAAAACACTTAATTGTTTTCTTCTTCCTTACCTAAGCGCATGTCTTCGCATAAACAAATCAATTATGTCATAAAAAAAAAAGTATATGCTTTTATATGTTATCATCTTCTGTTGAATACTTGTCAATCCCTTAATATATAATTAATGAAAAATTATTGTTCTTACAAGACTAATCAATCTGTAGATGACATTATTAAAGTCAAAGAACAATTTATCAAAAGATCATCCTAAGAGGATTACGTGTTTTCACTTTGAACATTAATTTGTTTTGGCCTCGATAGCTTTGAAACTACAGGATTTTCTTGCCGTACTTCGAATACTAAGGTTGAAACCTTTGTTTAGAATTTTTTTTTTAAAAAACGATGCATATTAACTATCACAGATGAAATTAAACTCGAGCATCAATTCACACATGAAATGATCCAAAAATAACATAAATTCACCCGAAACATTTTTTTGGGGATAATAATGGGATTACGAGAGCCTGCCTACCCTAATAAATGTATTATTCAAAGATAAATTATATTTTATGAGTGCATGCTATATATAAAGATAAATAGTTAAAAGAATCATACATCATTCATTTGCAGGAATTCAAAGGGGTTAGGACCTGAGTCTGTCTTTTCTTAACCTGTTTAGTGGCTTGTTTTGGGGGAGGGGGTTCCTCTCCCTCTTTTTGACCCCACAATTGTCTTCTTTCTCTTAGGCGCAAGACAGAATAAAAGCTTTCTTTCTATTTCACCTCCTCTTCTAGATGAGCGTAAAAAAACAATCTGGTGACGGATGAAGGTATAAATTATTTGATTATCTAAATCTTACCATGTTAATTAATTAAATAAAGAAGATGACACGAGACACGACATAAAAAGATATAATATTTAATTTAATATGGATCGAAAAAATTTTGCATAATGGATAGGAAAGTAATCAAGGGCAAGTCCACATGCATATTCTGGTCAAAAAAAGTCCAGAAGTTTAGTTTGGCTCGGGCCGCCACCTGTGAGCAAAGAATTTATAAACGTGAAACAACAACAAGAGACAAAAATTAATTTTTTTTTTCAAAAAACCCTCGCAGAGTTATTCTTTTATTCGAGGTCATCAAACACAGATTGGCCATTACCATATATGAAGGTGGCTCAGAAGGTTGAGACATGTTGGCGGACATAGAAGAGGCCAGAAGGGGAACCAGGGGGCAGTAGAGCTAGTTTGACAACACTATAAGCACCTTGTTCAACAGATAAGCTGCCGGTCTTTCTGGTGAGGTCGGTGATGACAGAACCTGGGCAAACACAGTTGACGCACACATTTGGGTACTTGATGGCCACAAGCCTCGTGTACGCGTTCAGGGCTGCTTTTGCCACCTTATAGGCTGACCCATACATCGGCCACCCTTTGCTTTCTAAACACCCTTCTTTGAAGTCCTTCTTGAACTCCCTCAATACTTCATCTATCCTGTAATCTGTGAGATTCTCAGCATCATCTAACACCTCTTTCGCGCATTTGTTTGATATCCCCTGAAACAGCACAGTTTTGCCATGATTATGAGCTAGCTAGCATATAATCTATGATCATAAAAAAGGAACCGCATTTGTTAATTAATTAGTCTCCTTTACATTTAAGGACCCAGCCTGGGAGGAGACATTAACAATTGTGGGCGAATCAGATAACTGGAGAAGGGGAAGAAAAGCCTCGGTTGTTTCCTTGGCACCATAGTAGTTTGTTTTTAGGCATTTTTCAGCCAACTCATCAGTTTGAATCAATTCAGCCGGATTTATTGTCGATCCCACCTGCATTCATGTAGAATAAATTTATAAATTATGCATATAACAATGGCCACTCCAATGGCTAAGAAAACACTGACCGGCTCATCCATAATGACTCCAAGGATTGCAGCATTGTTCACCTGCGCACAGCCACGCACTAGAGTTTTTTTGGCGGTTCATTCATATAAAGCAAAAGGATTGACAACATATATACCACAGAATAATGAATGACATCCATTAAACCCCTAGCAGATCAAATTAGAGCCATTAGTTTGTCAGATTATGCAGACAAATATTTCGACAGGATTGTATTAACCGTCTACGACGGCACACTATACTGTTTAAGCAAAACTACAATTACTAGACTTCAGTTAATATTAAGAAAACGATTTGCTTGTATGGAAAAACAAACCACAGAGAGAGAGAGAGAGAGAGAGAGAGAGAGAGAGAGAGAGAGGGAAATTGTCATACCAAAATATCCAGCCTGCCAAACTGGATTCTAACAAAATCCACAAGAGACGCAATACTGGCAGAGTCCGTCACATCAAGTTGGTGACAAGAAACCAGGTCGTGGGAGATACCAGAATGTTTCAATTCCTGAAGGGCTTCAAATCCTCTCTTGGAATCTCTGGCGGTGAGCAGTACCTTAATTCCATGAGAGGCCAACTGCTTCACGGTCGCCAATCCGATGCCTTTGTTAGACCCAGTCACAATGGCATACCTGAAACCACAAACCATTCCGGCAAACGCTAAATAGAGAATAAGGGAAGGAAAAATCTCAGCAACAGAAGTTAAACCTTTCCTTCGTGACTTCCATTGAGAGAGAGATCGCTGATGGGGCTGCAGCTAGAGAAAGCACTAGTCAAGGCAGCCACCAAATGGAGATCATGCGTTGCATGCACAAGGGGGTGCGTGGCAGCTTGCTTATGGTCCATGGATGCACCAGTCAATGCCACGTGACCCCCATATCTTCTCTTAATGGTTTGGGTCCGTTGGGTTTGGTATCATGGGCTCACACTTTTCATCCACCGTTTTGGGCTTACGGGGCTTGAATGCTTTTTCAGCTCCAACATCATCCGTTTGGGCACCTAATTAAGATGACTGGGAGTGGAGTGGATAGCCGAATTTTTTTTTTTTTTGGTAATAACTGAATTGAACAACCGAACGGAATCATGTAATATCGGTTCGACTTTCGCATCCGTATTGTATAAAATTTGGACCAATTTAATTCAAACATGTACTCTAGTTGGGCCCATTAGTTTTGGTTTAATCGGCACTATAAATATAGGCTTGTCTGTTTTAGTTTACTTTTTACAAAAATTACTTTTTTTTAAATCTATTTTATAAATGTTTATAATATTAATTTAAAATTTTAAAAATAAAAAAAATTAAAAAATTATCTTTTTAATTATTTAAAAAAGTTACTCACCCTAAATAAATTTTAAAAATAATTTATTACGATGGATGAAAAAATATTTTAAAGAAAAAAATACGTAAAAATATTATAAAATTTAAAAATAATTAATTAATAATTATTTTTTATTATCATAATTAAATATTATTTATTTTTCAACTTTAAATAAATAGTAAATGCTTTGAGTAAATATAATTTGAATCGACATTGGATTGAAAGAGTAGTGCAATGCAAAAGTCATCTGATCTTGTCTAACCCTATTTGATTCGAGATAGTCCAGTTTAATCGATCCTATAAATTAAATTCGGTTTTGTTAAACTTTATATTATCATTGAATAAGATCTGACTTATGAATTGTCAAATCCAATCATTTTTATGAAAAAGATCAAATTTTGAGTTAGGTTCAAATTCAATGCCATCTTGAAATGACTAAGATCGACTTGTATATACTAATATAAACAAATTATATATATTTATTAATTAGGAAGAGGAAAAAGTGAATTGGGTTTACTAACAGGTCAAGCTTAAATATGATAGGCTATAGGGTTGGCTAGGCCCTTCCCTATTTGCACTTCCGGTCAACAACAAACTAAATTAATAAATCTACACTTTTTCATTGAAATGACCATTGACTTGGTAAATCTCTGGTCAAGTTGGATGAAGATGCCTTCTCAATTAAACTAAAATTAATGGAATATAACATGAGTTGATTTTAGATTATTTTTTCAAGAAGTAATTTAGGGGGTATTTTAAATTGATTTTAGGTATTTAATTATTAATATCAAAAAGATCTAAAATTAAATGTTAAATTTTTACATTAAAATGCAAATGGGAAAATTCATGAGTCCTAAATTATGATTGAGGGTTTTGTCTCAAGATAATTAAAATGTTAACTAAATAAATTAATTAAGTAATAAAATAAGTTAAATATAAAAAAATTAAAAAAATTTTAATTCAATTGTAATAAAAAGGACAATTTAAGACTTCATATGGAGTTAACTTTCCTAATCTCATTCAATTAGTTAGACTAAAAAAATGATAGTAGAGTGAAATTAAAGCAAAAAGAACCCAAGCACAAAGTCTAGCATTTAATTTACTAGAAAACTCATAGTGAATCAAATGTTAAAATTATGAATTAGGACAATTAAAATCAAGAAAATCAATGAAGATTAATTCAAAATAATTCTAGAAAATATGTTTAAATTATCTAGTTGAATAACTAGATAAATTTCTAGTTCAATTGAACAATCAAGAGGTAAAAATAATAATTCAAATTTGCAACAAACATTGCAATGACAATTAAATTAATGATGAGAACTCAATCATTAATCTAATTGGCAAAATAAGGTTATATAAACATAAATTCTAAAAATTTATTCAAAACAAAATCAATCTAATCCAAGATTCAAAATATATACAATCTAAAACTAGATTGTCATCAAACATTACAACTTAGAATCATTTAAAACTAAATAATCCTAAACTTCAAAAGATAATTGAAAAATCACTCTCTTTTGGTTTTCAAGAATAAAATCCTAGACTCTAGTTTTCTTTGTACTTATCCCAATTTGTCTCCTGATCTACCTTAAGCACCCATGGTTTTCCTTCTTCCTCCAATTTTATTATGAATCACGGCCATGTGAAATAGTGGTGAAATAATATTGAATGATTAATGAGAGGAGGGGCAACATGTAGTTGGCATTGGAATGATTTTGGAGTGGGAGAATGGGAGGTAAGGTGGCGTTAGTTGATGGAAGAGTTGAGTGTAAGGTCACCCTTACTTATCCATAATTAACTCTACAAAATCAAGATAATCACTGGAATAAGCCAAATGAATTATCAAGTTTGTAAAATTTTTATAAATGAAATCTCAAGTTTTTAAAACTTAAAATGCTACAAAATCATATAAAATTATTTTAAAAAATAAAATCAAAGCAAAACATGTATAAAAAAGCATGGATATCATACAAAGTAAGATAAAATCAACCTAGGGTCAAAATAGCAAAAAACTAATTCTGGTACAATTACGTTGTAGCATAAAATTTTATGTTGTAGCATGAACAGCAAAATTCGTGATAGTTACAAGCTGTCATGGTAAATTTTCTGGCCAAACTTCTGTCGCTCACCAAATCTCTATCCGGCAATCAATTGAGGTGATTTAAGTGTTTATAGAAAGCTTTCTCCGAGCTTTAACTAATAGCACTAGTTTCACATTTAAATTAATTTTCAATCAAAAGTTGGACACCAAAATGCAAACTCATTTATTTATGCTATTAAAACATAACTAGGATGTCCAAAACTCAATCTAAGTGCCAAAAGCTCGCAGCAATCCTTTGACCACACTCAATAGACTTATAACAATTTATGTAACATACTATAATAAGCAGATATCACATATTTTACAATTTTAACCCTCAAACCCTTGATTTAAGAAATAACAAGGGGAGGCATTTTGACTTTAAAACTCAATATAATCCAATACAATAATGCATACAGTCAAATTTATACTTGCCCTAGTATTTTTATCTTTCTCATATATCTTAACTAAAAAGATACCACATGCTTTAGGTCCAAAATACACCTATCAATACTCAATATTCAATAATGCAAGTAATAACAAAATATGATTATCTTAGTTGGCAATATCAATTAATTACACATATGCAACTAAAATTAGGAGAGGCCTATAGTAGGAAATCGAGTTTCCAAGCCTCTAGTGCTTTTCCTTTATCCTCCTCGGAATTAATGCCTGTAAAATGTTAAATAGAGGGGTGAGTACAATAACACAATAACCAAATTTCACCTAATCTATACAATTACATATCAATTGAAAATGAATGCAATTGACAACAAATACACATATAAAGTAACTATGACAACTTATAGCCTTAGCCACAACAATAACAACCATGTGAACGGGTTTCAAACATATAATCATATATATATATATATATATATCAATAATGTATAATCTGGGATCTCAATAATACCAACTATGTGCCCCTAACTGCATCGGGCCACAATATTAACAACCATATGGTTAGAACTAAATGCATGATTACATGCCAACCTTATACCCTCTTAATTACTTTTGACATGAAACTAGTGGCTATTTGGTGGCTACACAGATTAACTTATCTTTCTACTTGTAAGGAGCTATCAAACTAGAGTCAACTCACTCACTTGTGTAATCTCATTTTTTTCTAATACCAATAACCATAGGGTGTCGTACCCATAATCTAACATCCTTATGAACCGATAGAGACTAGTTAGGTTCAAGTCCCTCATAGAACAAGTGAGATAGTCTTAGATAAATCATAAGATAAGGCTACCTCCTGATTTCAATGGTCGATGTCAAGGCAAGCTCTCAATTCCAACAGTCGCTGCCAATACCACGTGGATTTATCAATCTACTTCTCTCCCTAGGTGAATTCCCGTTAATGATCATACTATGAATGGGTTACTCATATTATGCAAATGTGACCAAAATCACAATCTCATGTCATGTCCACATCAATTTCTCAATCCCAATAAACTCCATAACTGATATATATATATATATATATCACATATATTTTTGTAGTATCACAGTCAAATGGCATCATTGCTTCACACATATGCATTATACTTTTTCAAAAGCCGTTTCATATATAATACCACACATTTGCCAAAATTGCATCAATAACTTTCTATACATCAAATAAGTTTCAAATCATAAATTTTAACAACTACTTAATTAACATACAACTATATAAATAAGGTTTTCCCTTGTTGCCTTAAACTTTTGAGAGGTCAAAGATTACCCCTCAATCATAATTTACTTTTTGAGCTAATCAAGTTTATCAGTGCTTCATGAGGTTAGTCTACAATTACATTAATTCCATCAGTAATAATAATTATCACCACTTCCAACGTCTAATTTCATATTTTAGTAACTAAATTTCTCAACTACAAGATCAACTTCACATCCATTGAATTCCTTAACTCTCATTAACTTTATTTAGCTCTTCACAACTTAAATAATCACTAATATATCATCTAACAATCCAAAATAATCATTAGTCACAAATTACTAACTTCCAACTCTCAAATTTCAACATTTTAATAACTCAAAGCTCTCAACTATTGAGTTTAATCACTACATTAGGTTTATTAACTCCCATTAGATCCAATTAACAATAACAAAATCATTAATCAATATCAATGGCAACCACTTACTTCAAGCACTACCATTTATGGCATTTAAATGTACAAATTTGTCCATAATTGAGAGCCCACTTTTACGGATGTATAAAACCCCTATCTCTAGGCTTAGATAACTCAAACAACTTCCATTAACTATATTTAAGTCAATGGGTTCAAACCCAAAGCTCCTAAGGTCTAAAAATCACCTTTCAACTACAAACCTTACCTTAAAAATGGTGTAGAGAAAAAGAGGAATGGTAAGGGACGTTT